TTTGAATCGTCGCCAAGCCCGTTGGAGTATATTTTTGTGAAGATTCGAATTCAAGATTACTTATTGACCAAAAAAACAACAAGGTTTGTCAGATACACTCTCTAAACAATGTTACTTTATATCAAAGGAAGGAAATGCTACTTTCAATCAACAATGGATAATTCTCTTGAAGTCAAAGCATCTTTATCTTCGAGCAATGAAATCAACACTAACTGTTGATTCAAGTTTCATTAAGCAAGTTCAGTCAAATATGTCTTTTAATCCTCTTATTCGTGATATTAAAGAAAACCCTTCAAAGTCTCATGATACTTCCAAGTTTGAATTCAAGAACAATTTATTATATTTCGAGGAATGCCTATATGTTCAAGAAGGTGAAACTCCATATGTGTTCTTCAAGCTCGTCATGACTTTCCAACAACATGACATTTTAGGTACAATAAAACTTTGGAACTAATATCCATAGATTTTTGGTAGTTCCCAATGATGAAGGCAATCAAAGATTTTTTACAATCTTGTGATATTTTCTCAATATCAAAAACTCCTCGTCATTGATCTTATTGACTTCTTCAGCCATTACCCATTCCAGAACAACCATGGTTTTCTGTTTCTATGGATTTTATCACAGATCTTTCAATCTCAGGTTCTTATGACTCTATATTCGTGATAGTGGATCATTTTACCAAGATGGCACATGTTGTACCATGTACAAAATCCATCACAGGTGAAGAAACAGCTAAGCTCTTTCTTAACAATATCTATCACCATCATGGATTATTTCAAGATATTATATCAGATAGGTGAACTCAATTTGTATCAAGATTTTGGCAGACTCTTTTCAAGATTCTAAAAGTAGATATAAAACTATCTTCGACATTCTATCTTCAAACTGATGGACAAACGGAGCGTATTAATAAAGTTTTGAAGTAGTATTTAAGATGTACCATCAACTACCAACAAGATGATTGGACAACTCTTTTGCCATTAGCAGAATTTTCTTATGATAATATAATACATTCTTCTACAAAATAAATATCTTTCTTTGTCAATTATGGTTATCATCCACGACTCGATACTTTTGACTTTTCAAAAGCTGATAATCTTGCGGCAAAAGATTTGGTAAACCATTTATCACAGCTACATGCAACAATGAAGGCATAGTTAAAAGAAGCTCAAGAACAATAAAAGATCAATGCGGATGTCTATCGAAAGGAATAACCACCATTCCACATGAATGATAAGATATGATTACTTTGTTGTAATATCAAGACCACTTGTTCTTGTGATAAGTTGGACTATCAAAGGCTTAGACCATTTTCTATTCTACACAAATCAATCATGTTGTATACCTTTTACACCTACAAGAGTCAATGAAAATCCATCTAATATTCTACATGTCTCTTCTTCAACCATATAAGATATTGGGCATACTAAGAAGAAGACAAGTTCTACCTCCTCCTATAGAAGTGGACAATAATGAAGAGTTTGAAGTGGAAGAAGTCTTAGATTTAAGGCGATGCCAAAATAAATTGGAATATCTTATCTATTTGCATGGATATGATATTAGTAAATGCACATAGGAGCCAATAAAGAATCTTGCAAATGCAGCAAAGGTGGTGGACGCTTTTCATCGATGATATCCATCAAAATCAAGATGAAAATCTTTTTTATAAATGAAACAAGATCTAAGCAAGATAACATTCTACTTTCAATCCTTGTTTGTAGCTTCTTTGTAGTTATGACGTTGAAGAGATGGAGAACCAAGAACCAGCGGACTCAACTCAAGAGTCTTTATTTGTTGACATACCAGATGCGACTAACAATTGTCACAACCTTCAAGATGACGCAATCGAGATGAAGATCTACAAGAACGACATGTTCTTCCTCGAATAGATGGTAAGATACAACGCATTTGATATCACGATTTTAGAAGGGACTCTCGATGTTTGGTGATTTTACTAGAAGTAGGAACAACTCTTGATGGTGTTTCAAATATTTTATTCGAACGAAGTAATGAAGGCCTCAACAATGATCAAATAATTGGGTGGTCTTCCCACCTTGGTATGGGACACTACCGATGGTTGAGAGGCCCTATCAATCATCTTCGAAGAGAACAAAGATTAGAGTATGTGACAAATATCATTTGTCGCATCATAGATTTCCTCAACATGTCGTGACCGCTTCTTATAGAAGTCGTACATAGAATGGGAGGTAATATCACGAACATATGCATGTAAGCTAGTAATTACATATATAAATAGATAGAAGTAAGTAAAAGTAGGTAAAAGTAAGTTATATATATAATATTTGCTATAAAAGCTTCCTAGAAGCTTTATAGATACTATTTTGACTTTATAGGTGTCTTTAATTGACTTTTTGGATTAGAAACGTAGTCAACAAGTTGGCTATGTAACACACATGTTGTTAGCTTGAAGACCAAGCTAACTATGTGGCCTACATGTTAAAAAATTTACCTTGTAAGTCAAGGCATGTGTCCTACAAAGTCAACACGTATTGGAAGTCCTATAGAACATCGCCACGTAACCCCTAGTTAGTATATATAGAGACAAGAGTGAAGCCTTCTTCACTCTTATCAACTCCTTTCTTGCTTCCAGTCTAGTTTCAAGGGTCTCTACTTTTCTTGGCTTTTGGCAATAGCCATTCCAATTTCTTCCTTAATATAAATATCAAGTTATTTTTATTTTATCATCTTTCTTTTAGAGAAGTTTCACTTGTTTATTTGTTTTTTATCATGTCCTTGTCCTTGATATATATATATAAGAAGTAGGCATTATATGGAGGCAAGAAATACTATCTTCACGAATCTAAATCATATACTAATCAAATACACAAGTAGATGTTATTTATATTAGAATGACATGTTGGAAGGGAATATTTTAAAAAAAGATTGAATCCAAAGTAAATCTAGAAACATATCTGATAACAAATGTGATGTGAAAATAGTGAAATAAAAAGTCATTGCATTCAATTTATAAGAAGAAAAAAAAGTGGATATATCAATTCTACAAAGAAGAAGAAGAAGAAAAAATAAAATAAAATGTCATGTTTTTAGTTTTATGAGCACCATTAAATTTAATGATCTTTACATTGAGGTTGATGCTTGTTGTAATAGTTGAGGAAGATTTCAAGCATGAATTCAATGTTTACAATACTTTGGCATTTTTTCAAATATCTTATATAAACACAAATGCATGAATTTGACTAATCATAATATTATTAATATTTTCCATCAAAGTATTGTGGCAAAAATTAGTGCATAGATGTTGTGCATATAAAAATAATCAAAGTTATCAATACCTACTCATTTATAAACCTAATGAAAATACTTACAGATTTTAAAGACTTCACTTTGTTTTCAGATTTTTGCTTGTTTATTTCAAGTCTCTCTTCAAAGCTTTCATTGACATGAAATATTAGAGATTGAGGAAAGTAAAACATCATATTTTTAAAAACTTTGAATTGATCATTCATGTTGATTAATTGTAACGTATTGTTAAAATGTTGTTCATTAGGCATGACTTTATTATTGTCATATGAGAATGTGACCAGCTATTTTGATGGAAAATGTTAATAATATTTTGATTAGGCAACAAAGAAATATTGTAACTCTGGACACAAAGATCAATGCACCAAAAAAAATCCTTCAGACATATGATGCTTAGGTTCCAAAGTACTTTGTTAGGAAGAGGTTAATAATACCCATGTTATTAAATACTAAAATTCTAAAATGACAAATTAAATCATTCATGCTCAAGTTTCTTGCTATACTATGAAATATTAAACTCAAATTCACATCAATATGTATTTGCTTCTATCCCAATATTTGAGTATGTTTTAAAATTTTGTTTGATCTCTTTTTAGATTTGCTAATGTAAAAAAAAAATAATGATTCTTTAAAGTGTGATAATGTGATTCTTACTACACATGACTCTTCTTGTATCATGGTTGTATAAGAGAAAGAATATTTCACAGTTATTATTTCTTTGCTTTATCAAGAGATGTGCATTTGAATGAGTTTGTATACATTTGTTTAAACAACAATAAGTTGCATGTGTGGATAAGTGCAACAATTAGATTTGTAAATAAGGATTTTACAAGAGGTGGCATAAAAGCTGAATCATGGACGATTGGAAAGATGAAAAGACATAAGATGGACTAGGCTCTATAAGTGAAAGAAACAAGATTATTCCATCTTTTCTTAATCACACATGTAGAGTGCATTCCAAGCCTAATATTTGTATTTGTGTTTCAATGACTCACAATATAAAGGATAAATATTTTTTTCCTCTAATGCTTTATCAGGGGGGGGGGCAGTTCAATTTCACTTCAAAAAAATATCATTAAAAATACAAAGTCATTGGTTGATAAATTTTGTTTCACATTGTTGGTAAATATTGTAAATCTAAATAATGACTGCAAACCATGGAATTAATAATAATTATTAAAAGGAATAGATTTTAAAAATAGGAAATAATATCCATTCCTTAAAATAGATCAGCTCTTACGGGAAATGTAGAATTGACACATGGACACCACTCATCCTAATCCTGTTTGAAACCCACCCAATTTACTTTATACGAGAATGAACAAGGATGGACGAAAGTAGAATGGATGCGTCAAGTTCATCCAACAGCCCTCATCCATCCATGAAAAGGGACGGGTGATAGCTCATCCAATCCCCGGAGCGCCAGCCGCAGACCGGGTCAAGTGAGGCAATCATTCCCTGCCGCAGCTTCGGCGGCCGTCTAACCAAAAGGCCAGTCTGACCAGGGAGCGGCAAGCCTGTGGCGGGAAGGTCAAGCGGGCGGGGCTGCAGTCCGCGACACAGAGGATTGCCCCCCTGCGGGAGAGTTCTTTGCCCAGGTCTGTGGCGCGGCCTCTCTCACCGTGTGCATCCAGAGCCGCACGATCCGAGGTGGCCCGCGGGCATAGGCCACAGAGATGGGGGGATGGAGGCGGGGTCGGTGGTAAGGAAGACATTGAAGGCATCGGAACTACGGGGCGGGCGAGCGGGAGAGGCATTGGCACTTGCTTTTGGTGGTGGCGATGCTCGATTGTTAGCCCGTGAAGCCAATTGTGTTGTTCGAGCCCCGATTGCTGGTGGGCTTGGCTGTGCATGCACTGCGGTTGCCAGATGATGGCGAGGATACCGTCGTCCCTCGTTTTGGCCTGAGCTCGGAAAAACTCTTCCCCCTTCCACGCTGTGTTTTTTTGAACGGTCGAGCTGACGGGCTGACGGGCCATTAGGGTTCGGTTGCTGTTGGACGCACCTTGTTGCTGGAGCGGGAGTGAGTTGCGCGTGTTTTGAGCGTAAGTGAACTAGCGGTGGAAGGCCTTTGGTGTAGAGTGAGATAGAGAGGAAGATAGGGAGTGGAAGAACAGGGAGAGAAGTGTTTTTTTTTGTCGTGGTTGCATTATAATTGTGCAGGGAGGAGGAGGAAGAGGAAGAGGAGAAGCTTATTTTGTCTAGAGGAAATGAATGGTTGCTGGTGTGTGAGAAGGAGATGAAGTTGTGGATTCACCGGAGTGTGCTAAGGGACGGGCGCTTGAAGTGTTGGGACAGAGGCTGGCACTAAGATCTTACGCCCGAGATCATAGTGCGGAGAGCTCGGTTGTGCAAGTTTCGTGCTGTTTCCATGCGGGGGAAAGCGAGAGAGTACGGCGTGGGGAAGTAGAGCAACAAGATTTGGTTGATGTAGGTCTTTAGCCGGAAAAGAAGGGCAAGTGTTGAGTGTTGTCAGCAGCGCAGATCTGGTTGGATAAATTCAGAAGGCTTAGGAGGGGAGCGCTGGAGATCAGTGTTTTACTTTCTGGCAACAGAACCGCTCTGACGAGTTAGGGAGATTTTGGGAAGCAAGGGTTCAGTGGGATTGAACGCATTCGTGAAAAAAAATGTTCTGGCGAATATCTGGCTTATCGACCACTTCTCCGGTGAGTTCATTTTTACAATTCCTCTGGACTGTGATGCTAGAGTAATATAGAAATCTATTTTTTTCAGACTATTGACCCCGTTGTCTACACATTTTGATTCTCCATTATACATGAAGTGTATCTTCAGTGCGCCCATGTGTCGTTTGTGTTGAATCTTCCCTCATTGTAGTGGTTTATGAATTCTTTTTGAAATGGCTATATGAAAGTGTGAAGAATATCCAGGATTGCTGTAATCATGTTTGATTTTTGTAAATAGTTTTGATGTTTTTGTGGATTTTGTTTTCTACAAGCAACAATCGCATGCTGACAGCTTAATATTAATGTTATAACGAAGTAGTCTCACTATATTGGAAATGCTGAGCCTGTTAAGATTAAAGTAGTCTTCGTAAATTGTAGGTGGCAATGCATATGTTTTTGAAGCCTGCTCGTCGACTATATACTTCTGTTCATCTATCACGTCCTACCTGTCAGCTTGTCAGGGTGCTGTTTTATCACAATTCTAGGTCTGCTGAATATGTATTAGATAGGTGTGCAGGTGTCGAAACAAGTTGACGTAGCTGACCTGGTCGTGCCTTGTTCGATAGGTTACATGACTTTTTTTTTGGTTTTTATAAAATGCTTTTTATTAAGCTCATAGACACAATGTTCCTTAAGTGACACTGCGTTGTGTGAATAGGATGACTGTTCTGGATTGGCGTCTTTCTAAGTTCTTCTGAACACGGTTATCCCATGTCAGGCTGAAATCCTTGTTCTTTAATCAATATGCATGAGCGACTTTTGTAACGATGAATGTGCGTCATCTTAGTGACTCATATCTATTGCTTACATCGTCAGTTCGAGGGGTTACGGATTGTTTATTGGGGGTTCCCACAAACAATGATTTGTATAATCGTTTGTGCATTATGGAGTGTGTTACTATTAGCCGCGGAAGTGTGGACTTAGTTCGTTGTTTTGAATTTCATGCATATTATTTATGTAAAGTTTTAGTTGCTAGTACTGAAGTGGTCATGGTTGTACATGCAGGTAGAAGCGGTGCTCGATAAGGATGCCTATACCTTGGAAGAACTCCTGGATGAAGATGAAATCATCCAGGAGTGCAAAGCTTTGAACAGCCGGCTTATCAATTTGTGAGCACCCTTCCATCTCGCTCTGCTTCAGCTCACTCTAAGTTGCTTTGTATGAACCAACTTTTCTAATAAGTTGGGTTTCCTATCAGCTGATTGTTCTAGTTTTTGCACATACTGGCAATATTAAGTGAGATGACTAAGGATTGTGGAACTCAATGTTAAAATTTTATACTTAACACTTTGGTACCAATTACAAGAGTTGGTGAACTTTTCTCATAACGTGATGATTATAGGGGCTTGTGTATAGTTATTCATAAAATCGACTTTTGTTTTACACGCACACAAGACAATCCATGCGTAGTAGGCCTGATGTGAGATCATGGAATGTTCAGAAGGTTTATGCTTTGATATTTGACATGTGGTATGGATGCTTTTTGACATGCGTGTCTGGTGCTAATGGATCAATTACTAGTGTTACTGATCTTTCTTTTGCGATCGTGTCATGGTCACTCCTCTTCGATGTTTACAGCATGCGGGGGAAGGCTCAGGTGCATGCGCTGCTCCGTTATGTAGTCGAAGAGCCACCGGAGGGTGCAGATAACAAGCGTTCGTACAAGTAAGTCTTCTTCTTGCAGTAAAATTGGACTTAATCAGCTGTGTGACATCCGAGGTATCTAATTTCTCGACCTAGTTTTTTTGCCTGCAATAGGACTGATTGTTGACTTGAATTTGTAGCAATTTGTAGTTATTTCGTAAGTTTGTAATGGTAGTCTAATAATGATAAAAACAAGGGAGCTAAGTCTCATTACCGCCCATGCAGGTTTCCATTCATTGCATGTGAAATTTTCACATGTGAGATAGATGTCATATTCAAGACTTTAGTTGAGGATGAGGAGGTATTACTCATATACTTTGTTTTGAACGTTGATAATGTTCATTTCTAGAAAAATTCTTTTTCATGTTCATGGGAAACTTACACTTATTCGGCAGTATTTGATGTAAATGTTTGTCACGAAGTCTGGAACTCATCTATATCAAATTATCCAAATTCATTTAGTGCTGCAAATGGTACGGTAGACAGGATTGAAGGTGTGTTCAATAAATCCTTGCTCCTTTGCAGAGCATGAATTATCTCTTCTCTTTCTTGGAGGCTGGTCGGCCACATGGAACGTTATTGGCAGGCTACTTTAGTAAGGTAAATATACATTTTTTTTTGGGTTTCATCACACTAAGATTCTTCTTTTTGTTCATGAATATTCATATATAGACTGCTAGCATTATACAGATTCAGTTCATCGGTGTGTTGAAACTGAATGTTGTGTGTTCTATAATTAGTAAATTGAATTATTTCGTAACATTTGGCACATGCTTAAGTGTTTTCTTGATTGGAATTGCACATTAAGTTGTCTAATGTGGTGATTATTTCGTTTCAAATTGTGGCGCAGGTTGTTGTTTGCTTGTTGCTTAGAAAAACTGTTCCGGTAATGCAGTATTTGCAAGTAAGTCCGAAAACTTCATTTATAAACCTCATTTATAGCACTGTTTGATTTGATTTTTTGTCTATGCTTCATTTACATTTAAAGTAGTTCTCTTTCTATGTACGTGTCCCTCGCACACGCACACATGGTCTCTTATGTGTTACTATTGGTTAACTTTTCCAGACTCACCAAGAGATGTTGAAGAAGTTGGTTGATTTAATTGGTATTACTTCTATCATGGAGGTAAGTTCTCTACATCATCACTTGGTAGTGGGTCTTATATCGGTCTAGAATCGTCCGTTTCTTGAGTTGAATATCTTGCCTTCAAGCAGTTTTGAAATTAAGCTTTAACTTATGAGTTTGCACTTGCACTTGTAGGTTCTGGTCCGGCTGGTGGGCGCAGACGAACATATATATGCTCTTCATGTGGATTCGTTGCAATGGTTAGCCGACACGGATCTACTGGAGATGCTCGTAGATAAGCTTAGTCCACCGGTATTTTTATTCTTCACTTTTTAAAATTTAAATTGGCCATAGCGCTGCTTGAAGATGTCGTGGATTTTATGAGCCTGTCCGCTTTTTGCGATTCACGTTTCCTTGGTATCTGACTATTCTGATTTCTTGCGACGGCAGAATTCTTCAGAGGTTCATGCGAATGCTGCAGAGACTTTGTCAGCTGTTACGCGTATTGCTCCATCTGCACTCACTTCAAAACTTTCTAGCCCAAAGTATGTGGTTCACAGTTTCTTCAAATTGTCCATCCGAATGTTATGGTGGTTGAAAGTGAAGTAATTTATGTTTTACCAATTATGATGCCTTGACAGGATGTCATGTGTCCGAAGAGTCATTAGTTCTCACGTTATAAGATTTTAAAGCAGATGCACTCGAAGAACATAAGGTCTATGTGCACAATGCATTTTAGATATAATACATTTTAGATTCTTGATTTGGTATTGCTTTATTCTTACAGAAACCCTTATTTAAAGCCATTCCATTGTTATTGCTTGTCTTGGCAGGTTTGTGGGGCGCCTCTTTCTTCACGTATTGGATAATCCGGAGTCGAAGTCTACCCTTGTGCATGCCCTTTCTGTCTGTATATCTCTCTTGGACCCGAAGAGAGCTGCTTCCGTAGCAGCTGCAGGAGCCGCTCGTGGCCAGCATGTGACTGAACCAATGACTACTGCAAACCCGGAGACTGTTGAAGGCATGCTACAAAGATTAGGTGAGCCGACGTTTCTTGCGATAACGGTTGTCCGGCGAATATAATATTATGCTATGTAGCCGCTGGATGAAGTGGAATAACTTCTGATTTAGTTCGTCGGTTTAACTGTTGAATCAGCCCGAACAGTTTTGCACTCGTAGTGGGGAGCCAGGACACTGCTTTTGTATGATTACTATGTTCAAGATAGTAGAACATATGAGAAGACATCCGTTGAAAATTGCATTTGGATCCTGGTTAATATATATTAAGTGGAGAAGATGGAACTCGCAGTTATTGCTTCCCCTGAAGGTGCATTCTTGATGTCCGCAGGTGACTTGCTTGCAGTATTGGATGTCTCCAAGGACAACCTGATGTTGCCTACTACATATGGACAGCTTCAGCCACCTTTGGGTGTCCACAGGCTTAAGGTTAGACTTGGAATTTTGTTATTGGCGTTGCAGAGCGAGAATTTTTCTCCTTTTTTAGTCAACTTCACTGCATTTTGTAGCTCATAGTGTTAATTTTTACACTCCACTGATATCGTGAGTTATTGGGCAGATCGTGGAGTTCATTGCGGTTCTGTTGAGAACCAATAGTGACGGCGCCAGGCACCAGTTGGTCAACTCAGGAGCAATTCAACTTGTATTAAAGCTCTTCTTTGAGTAAGCTTTCCTATTCACCCTCCTTTTTGCTGTGTATTGTGGACGTAGAAATTGGTATATCATGTCAGGCAGCGTGCATGAGACTACGCGCGATGTGCATTTGAGCTTGAGCAACAATTGGTCATATGCTGGATATTTGGCCGTGACAGTTATCCCTTCAATAACATGCTGCATCATCATGTGGAGAGTATTGTGTCCTCGTGCTTGGAGAGCAAAAGTCAAAAACTGATTGATCATTTATTTCAAGACTGTAAATTTTTGGATAATTTATTGGCTGCGGATGATAATCCTTACGTTCCAGACAATCAAGCGGAGGTACGAGTTTAGTTTGGGGCTGATTGTTGTGTACTTACATTCTTTAAATAGTATACTTAATGATACTTTTTGCATATGTGATGCTTCTAGGGTGATGAATCTTATCAGAGAATTTTATAGACGATGTTTGATTGATTGCTGAATCACTGTTACGAATAGTAGATGTAATTAATCTACGACGGTTACTGTGCACAATCTATATTTGTGACGTAAGCTTGTCAGAGATCATTCAGTAAGGATCAGGATACAATACCATGTTTGTGGGTTTATTATTGTTCACCAGTTGGATTTTAGATTTGATCCATTTTATTGATCTGCAGCCAAAGTCTACAGTCAGTAAATCACGCACAAGGATAGGGAATATGGGTCATCTTACTCGTCTCGCTAACAAGATTCATCAAGCCTCTGCGATTCCTTTAATTCAAGGTCATTTACAGGTATGCAACATCTGTTTTCTCAGTTGCATTGTAATATATTTGCATTCTTTGCCATTGTATTCTAATTTTTTTCGTCTTCACTTCACAGGCTAATTCTAAATGGAGTGACTGGGTGACAAAAGTTTTGCAGCCTCGGAACTCAATTGAAAATGTGTTTCACTGGTCTTGTGGGTACGTCTCTATCTTTATGATGGCGATTTTCATTTTCCTGCATTTTTTGAATTTTCTAGGTTTGTCGTTTTATCATAGTGACATCAAAATTTTGTAATTAAGTGTGTTAAATTTCTTGGGAAGTGTATTGCAGTTTCTTCATTCATGCAATGAAATGTTGTTCGAGAAAATACGATAATGTGTCTAACGAAGTATTCACATGGTGGTCTGATATGTGCACAGACGACCAACTGCTGTACAGGATCGTCCTATGGACAGTGACGAAGATGACTTCCGTCATAGGGATTATGATATATCAACTATGGCCAGTAACATAAATCGCGAGGTTTATCGGTACGGCATGTTTGACAATGATGATGCTGAAGAGGTTAGTCCTTGCTGTCTTACCTCAGCTCGTTTTGGTCAGTACCGCGTCTTCTGTTTGATATGTATATGTTGGATATTTTTAATTCTTTTATGTTTTTAATGTTTTTCGAACCCCACTTGCCGAGTTCCAGTTTGTTCTCATTTATTACGTTTGCATCTGTATCGCTGCACAGGGTCATGGGGCAATGGAGAGAGATGAGGAGGTTCATCCTCGTACCCAACTCTCATTTTTGAAGTATCATGTTTTCGTCTTACGGTTTAGTATAACTTCGATGATATGAATGTGTAGTCTATGTTTAGGATGGACGGGAAATGATCCAATATATGGAAGGGAACTAAGTATTGGTTGTGTGTGTAGGACATGTTTTTTGATGATGAGTCTGCTGAAGTTGTCATTTCATCGTTGCAACTTGGTGAAGATCAGGACAGGTGTCTTCATTATCTTACTCAACATTTATTTTTTTTGCACTTACTTCTTATCCTATTATTTGAGTTGTGTTAAGTACCAGTTTTCCTTGGGTTTTTTTCTCCTAAATCTAATTCCGAAATCTAAGTCCTAAATCCTAAAGCTATTTTATTATTGGGAAAGGAGTAACCACTGGCGGTTTTCTTCTAGTCTCATTTTGTCTGAAGTTTTCGGATTAAATTTGTGATGTAGTGGTAGGGCAGACAGCTTGTTCGGTCGAAACAACAACTGGTTTGCGTTTCAAGATGATTTCGCCAGGTCAACAGAAGAGTCCGCTCCAACATTTCTTGTAACCTCTTCTCCACCTCGGAATGATTTGGGACCAGCTGCAAATATAATCTCCCCTCCTAACAGTAGCGGGGATAGCAGCAGTGATGATGAAGTGGTTCTAGGAGAAGATGAAGATCTCGCAGATACAGCTAGTTCGGCGAAATCCAATAAAATACCCGAACCCAATCTTTTTGATGTACTGGAGAGAGAAAGCAAAAGCAGTCTGACATATCATTCTTTAGATTACTCAGAACTAACTACGAAACTTGAGAAAATAGATATTTCGGACGATCTATCATTGTTCCAACATCGATCAGAAGAATCTAGTGCAGGTATTTTGCCAATCGTTACTCTTGATAACGCTGTCTGAACGGGAACCTTCTATTTCTAAGCTTTTCTTGTTTGACACTTCATTTGCCACTGTAATCTAGGCTCATATATTGATGATTTTTGTGACGTCTCGTCTCCTCGTATTGATGTTTTTTGAATGTGGAATAAATGTTGACTTTTTGGGAGGAGCAGGCACGGAGATTCCATCAGGGGGACCTGTGATTGATGACAAAATCCCATTCGATGTTCATTTTCCTGAGCACTTCGAGGTAGCCGGGCAGACACCTGATTCACCCAATGTCGAAAAAAAGGCCGATCAATCTCATTCTGAATCTGCTGATGCTAGTGTGGTTCCAGAGGGGCATATGGTCAATCCCATTACAGGTAAAATTCCAACATCAACTATGTTTCTCATGAATATACATCTCAAAATTTTCGTAACTGAAACAATTTTTTTCCTTCAGTGAATGCGAAAGGTCCATTTTATTTCAATTTTTTTGGTTTGAGATGCTCTGGATGTACGAAGTAGGGACTTCGGTTGAAGCATTCCTGGCATGATTGAATATGCATGGTGCTTGTCTAAAACTTTGCCCACAGGTGAAGAAGTTGCTGGTGTAGAACCTGACGGCACAATCAAAGCCATGGAGAAGATGTTGAAGGAGGGTGTTGTAGGGGAGGCCACACCTTTGTTCAAGGGTGAGCATCACGGAAGTGAGCCTAAAAAAGAGGATTCTTCTAGCGGCAATTCTGATTTCAGCGACGTGAATTATTGGCGCAGTGACTACACACCGTCGGATGTCGAGGAAAAGTTGTGAGGTTCCGTGCTCCTGTTTATTCTGGTTTGTATACCTTCGATGAATACGATTTATCCATTTGAATGCGTTAGAGAGCTCTTCGTTAAGCCAGTGGTCTGTAGCTCAATTGTCTGTTCAATCGTGTGTCCTATAACGCCATATCAACATCCATTTGCTAGCATCTTGATGGTCTACTGGGGAGATGCATCAAGCAAGCGGCTGTTCCACCAGTTCAACCCCTTCTGCAAGTTTGTTCGTATCCTACCTTCCATTATTTTTCGAAACTCATGAGGGGAACAATCGATCGCATAAAGTTTACAGATACTCTTCTGTAATACTGTACAAAGTGGCTCCCCATCAATTACTTACAGCAGCAGACCTGCTGGGGTTGTCCAACTTCACACCTGAATATACTCTTTCATATTCATTTTCTACCAAACCGTTGCTGAGCCTCGGAATGGCTTGCATGTGGGGTGCTTATGATAGAGTCCAAGGCATGAATCCTTATTTATATTTTCGAAATAGTAAATTCGGTGATTACAAACATTTTCTTTCCCTTGTTGGGTTGGCTATGTTGAAGTCTCTCATGATGTGTGATTCTGACAACTTTATCAGACAAGCTTTGAAGAGTAACATACAACCTTTGATGTTTAGTATTGTTTGTGTTGCCTGATGCAATGAGATAAAATCTCAATATTTAAAATTATTAATTAATAATTTCTATCAGACTTCAAAAACCAATCTAGTAAGGTTTTAAACCATGGATTGCGAGTTTCAACATAGAAATAACCTGACAAGTTGAGTTAGTTATCATATGTTCAAACCGTCTTCATCAGAACCATGTTAAAGTTTAGACGATTACCGTCCCCAAGGAGACAAACGGGAGTCAAAATGGCTGTGCCTCCGCGGAGTAACACCCGTCAGAGACAGCAGAAGCACCTCTAATCTCTGGGCTTTACGAAGGGGTAAGCAAATTGCGTTGCTTCTTGATCCCAAACCTCGCGGAGTGAAAGTCATCCATGCGCTGCAGAGCCCACGACCTGGGTTGTAAGACGGGGACTGAAGTCCCGATCTCAAAAACCACTTCAACACTGACCATTGTAACCCCGCTGATGACCATTACAATACTTTGCTGCAACGGTCATACACAATGTTACAGTAGTTAAAGGCAGAAATGGCTAAACCACCACATTGATATAAATAGATTACATAGTGTTTAAACTACAGTTGACAGCCGCAACTAACTGACATTGTGATCGGCTTTTGAGTGTGGACCCTGCACCACCTCCTCAGGACATCCTCTTGAGCTTTGCCCTGGAATAATCTCAAACCCCTGTGCAAAGCAAAGCCCAACTTCTTTGCAAGAGTGCTCAAACTGGAATACACGGCGCTACTGCAGCTGTATTGACAACCGAAGTACACTTGTGGGCACTAATTCTGATACACCATATACTATTGTTCGGTATTCCAAATATCGCTTCCTCGTCCAGTGCGAGTATTTTGACTTCTAAGAAAAATCTGTTGCAGCTCAACTGCAGTGCTGTAACGCCTGCTAGTGCATCATGCCATGGTCACCAAACACGAATCCCAATGAGCATCGCACTAAGCTCATGTAGCTTTTCGCAGTATACAAAGCTGAGTTTAAAAGAGGCAGAGGCAAGTCTCCACGACAGTAACAGCAATGACCAACTTGAAACCGCCTGAATATATTTCCCAATCTACAACTTGAAATACAATCGTGAAGTAAGTAATTTTAGGCATATAGAAGAAAGTGGAAGTACCAAAATGTCCGTTCGTATTTAAGGAAACCCAAATTGACATAATATTACGTTCGTCAATAGCGAACCAGATGCCACAGTTGATGAAATTCAAATTTACAGTTAACACCAGGTTAATACAGCCCAAGATGGTTTCTCCTGCCAAAAATGATAACTGAAACGAATGTAAAACATTCTTTTGTTCCAAAAAACCTACAACAATGACAAGTGAGTACTTGCTAATACTTCTCGCAGGCTTCGCTCATTTTACAGCGGGCGTGGAAAAACATACTATATACCTGGGAAGCTGAAAATGGTTTCACCAAAATATCAAGGTCTCAGGCATTGCCACAAACAAATAGGAAGAGTTTCAGCGAAAATTGGGCTAGCGCACCAAACGATTAGCCCAAATAAACATAAGATCTCGTTGAAGATCATGAGTGGAATCCCTCTGTTTTAGGAAAATCCGTGATCTCAACATTGAGTCTTCAGGGTCAACCACAAACTTGAATACCAAGCCAACATCTGATGCCTGCCTCGTCTCCTTTGCAAGCAAGCAATGCGAAAAAATTCTACGACGACGTAAAAACACAACTACGATAGCTTTACAACCAGGTTAGAGGTTCAACAATAATTATAATAAGAGCGTCATGAAGGAGAAAAAAAGAAATTAAGATAACAAAGAAAGCAAGGAAAAACGATAACCCGCACTGACACAGTATGTAAAGCAGCTAAAAATTTCGAAGAGCTCCCATTATATACCCAAAGATTACAGATTCTCCTAAGTATCTCATACATGCCATTTTAAGCTACCTTCATCTGTGAACTTACAAAGTAGCGTGACCTTTGCAGCGGATCAACATCCTTCTGACTACAAGAACACCCCAACCAGTGAAAATGAATACTAACAAAAAAATAAGGGGATGGGTAGACAGAATATTTTAATGTTCTAGGAAGAGGAGGCAGCTGTAGATCCTCCAACCCCCATCTTTCTACCCAACACAGCCAGTTGCTCAATGAATTCTTCTCCAGATAATATCTCAGTGGTTCCATAGATAATGTTCTTCGTCGGTTGCTGTCGCTTAGCAAACTCTTGCAAACTTCCATACTCCAGGTAATTCCCTCCCCCTATCATAAAAACGATGGCCTCTTTGAAGGGTCCTTTAGAAACACTACCAGCACCAGCCGATCCTTTAGGAGCTCGTGGATCAAATGTGAGGTAAGAATCTGTTTCAGGAGATGGTTTAGATTCCATCAGAGCTTCGACTACGCGGATAAGAGCTGCTTGCCTACCCCCTGAGAGTAGATTCTTCACCCCTGCCGTAATTGAAATCAATGCCTGTTCATAGAACTGCCCTCCCCATCCACCAAGATTGCTCTTGCTTGCAGCTTGCGCAGAGGACAACGAAACGTTTAGGGATTTGATCCTCTTGACATACAGGAATGCTGAAGGATCGACCTCACATTCTCGAAGAGCTGCTTCAACTGCTTCAAGTTCTGCTGGAACTGTGGTTTCTGCTGCGAGCAGGTATACAACAGCTAGCCTTAACTTATCTTTTTTGGAGCCTTTACCTTTCAGATGTGCAATGAGACCTCTGTCAACACTGCCTTTTGAGAGCATTTCATCCTCAATCGAACTGAAGCTGTCAAGAGAACGATTCTTGATTTCCCCTAAGAGAGCAGTGGCAATGTTGGTATGCTTATCAATCGTCCTCTTTCTTTCAGTAAGCTCTGGCAAAGAGTTCACGGCATTCATCAAGTGCTTCGTGTTACCCATCAATTCTTGTTCATCGAAATCTTCAGCATCACCTCCTGTTTTCTTGTTTACCTCCGCGATGTCTTGCTTATACCTAACACCCACAACATCAAGAATCAATGCTGGTTACATCCACCTCAGCAATCCAATTACATCTGAATTCAAAGTTATAAAGAAGAGAGGGTCACTCTACCATAATCATGAAATCAATAATTGGGTACAAACTGACCTGCTCAATTGAACCTCAACTTCTTGAGCTACTTGGGGAAACACAGCGTTCCCATTAGCAACCCAAAACGAATCACCATCATCAAGTTCATACGTTTTCCCAGCATTCTTTCCCTTCAAGCCTAAAGTGCCCCCTTCACCTTGAACAGTAACACGATTCAACCTCATGTTCAAAACATCATGGACAAGTGGACGATAGCTCCAAACGTGCTGGACGGCAACTGATAACTCAAAATTACGATCAAACAAACATAGAACAGGCCGTTGGAAAGAAGTGCCCATATGTCCAGCCTCTGTGAACAGATTGTTTCGCGAAACCAGATGATCTCGTATACGTGAGTCCAAGGCACTAGCTACCATCTCTGCTGGTCCACCACTGTCAGCCAAAGTAGAAAATATTTAGAGGATGTACTCAGCACCTCAATATAATAAAACCCACATTAAGCTATAGATGGGCGCAATGTGGTTAGAAACTACACTAGATATTTCCGCTAATGAAGAAGTCTTAGAGGAAGTCCCAGCTTCTATTTTCTTTGTACTGTATCAAGTATTGCTGAGGTTCATGTGCCAAATTTCCCCAATATCCTCACATTTTCTCCTAAAGATTCCATCCCAACCAATATCAAAAACTGTTCTCCACGAGGTTTGATAATCATAAGATGTAATAAGCCTAAATCATTGACCCTGAACGCTAGAATCTCTCGCTAATATCAAGGCATAGATAGATATTCGTGACAACGAGGTGCATGTTTATATTGATTGGCTCATTTGAAACATAAGAACGAAGTTCATTTCTGGACGGGTAAAAAATGATCATTACCTTGCACATCGGATCACTGGGACTACTCCCAAAGTCGCAAGAACAGAAAATAGCCCATTAGCAATGTTTTCAACCACGGCCTCCACGTCCTGTTCTTGGGCAGCAGGGTCATTAAGTTGCACATACGAGAGTGGCTGGGCAAGAGAGAACATCCCATTTTCAAGTGTCACAAACTCAAGATACTGGTCATAAACCTTTGCGATTCTCTGCAAGCAATCTGTTCTGAGTGTATTTGTGGCTAGCTCCTCCAAGAGAGGTCGAGGCAGGGATGACGAAAAATTGAGATGGAAAGCTTCGTACATCCCACGAGATGCGTCTAAAATTATTCTTTGAATATTTGCCTGCAGTGGTTGAACAAAGTAAATCGCTGGCACATCAGGCACATTTTGTCGCTCCTTATCTAGGCCCAGGTACAGTGTGATGCCGTGCTTCCTTAAATCGTTGACGCGAATTAACGGCGACAGAATGTCGCGACAGAAATTGTCATATATCAGCACCTTGTATACCTCTTCGTCTGCTGTGCCCCCACTTAAGACTGGGTGATTAAGATTCAGCATCCGAACCACCGCATCTGTAAACATGTTCACCGCCCTCAAATTCAGGTCATGTATCATGCACAAAATGACAATGTTCGTGAATGAAGACAACCTCCAATATCACGGTAACCAAGTTGCCCGCACCATCCATGTCATTGACAACATTCCACGTATACTCTAACAGCTCGACACTCACGCATCCGATTCCGCACAATGCAAGAACAAAAAAAAATATAAGTCCTACACGTAAACCCTAAACCTACGAAGGTGCAGAGCACTCCACAAACCAAACCCCGTGCATCTCTCCCTCAAACACCATCCATAAAATTTCCCGATAAGACTGCGCGACACACCAGTTCTCATCTAATAGCCATAAAAACAGACTCACACCCAACTCCACTGAAAAAAAATGATTCTCAATTCCCTCAACAACATACAAACAATCAAATTAAATCTCGGCCCCATCTAACCCAACAAATCATTCCAGTACAACCTACTTGCAGCAAGGAAATATCACCATTACATCCAAAGCACGAATTACTCCAACACTATCGATCCAGAAAATATGCCCACAAGAGAGTAGTAAATAAATAAATAATAAATAAAATAATTAATATATCACCCAATCTCGCGAAGTAAAGCAGTCTGTGTGCTGACTTCTAACAATGCGAACACAGATCTGCAAGGAAGCGGCGTTACCGAGCTGTTTCTGCCTCAGCGAAAGCGCCATGGCTGTAATCCTGGGCAACTATCCTCCGCACCCACCCGTGCCTCCTCGATTCAGTAGTACGCAGTCTGATCTCTTTCTCTCTCTCGATTGCGTCCCCTCCCTCCCGATTCCCGCGAGTATCTTCCCCGCAAACACACAAGCACTCCTCTCTCACCCTCTGTCTCGCACTGCTCGCCCTTCCCACCAAGAGGCTCCGCTCGTAGATGTTGAGGAACTCTTCGTAGATGTTTCCATCTAGATTTTCGCTTTATTTCTGGGCCCGGGTGGCAAGGCACTGATTGGACAACACCCGTGAACTCGGTTGAGCACGAAAAAAGTAAATGCGGTTCGGAAATATCCGGAAGTTTTGGAGTCCTGTTTACACGTGGGAGAATCGGGCTATGATTGAAGACGGCGTGTGTGGGTCGTATTTTCTGTTGGATGAGTTCCTTTCGTCGTATGGATGGATGTTTTGTTGGATGACTTGGTTCGATGCGGTCGTTTAGTTCAGTGTTGAGTTGAATGGAGAAAACGATTCACTACAACATATTTGTATTAATGCTGGAAAACGATGGTGAAAATTTCAAATCATTGTTCTTTTAAGAAGTTCATTTAACACTTTGCTCTTGAGCTTGTGGTATGATATTTTTGATGTTTGAAAATCTCTGCTAGAATATAAAGAGTTGTTTTGATCCTTCACATTTAACTCGATTTAAATAGTACACATTGACAAAATTGCATCAAGTACAAAAGAAAATCTTAAAATAGATTAAGAAAGATAGAAAGATAAAATAGAGGAAAATTATGGATGTATTTATTTCAATTTTTTTAAAGATAAATAATACTATATTTAGTGTAAATTTACAAACATTTTTTGCCAAAATAAAATATTGCATTTTCAATGTAAATATATATAATATATATTGTAATTTTAAAACATTTTTTTATTAAATTAATGAAATTAATTTTGAGTATAAAATTTAAAATGAATATATATTTAAATGATGAAATAAAATAATAATAAAATATTAATATTTTTGGTTTTATGAAGTTAAAATTGCATAAAAAATAAAAATTGGCACTAATATGTTTTATAATTGATATACTCCAATAAATTTAGATAGAACATGAGTTAGTATCATCATAGATGTTTAAAAGTTTAGAAGCAAGGGTTTCAATTCAATTTAACTATAATAATACATCATAATATGATGTAAATTATGCTTTAAATATAACCAATTTTCTTCTTTAAAAAATTATACAAATAAAGTAACTAAAAATTTGGAAATTTTCTATAACATTTGGAATTATTTTGCTAAATGCATTAAGATCATTTAGGTATTTTGAAGATTTTTCTTTTTTCCTTTTTCTTTCTTTTCTACAAATGCAACTGCCTTTTTTAACAATGTACATTGTAATACATATCATTTATATTGTTTTTGTTTATTTACATTAAAAAACAAAAAATAAAAAATAAGATAAATTTTAAAAAATAATTATTAAAATATTTGAGCTATTTTGATATTGAAAAAATAATATATAATATTTTAGTTTAAAAATTTTAATTTAATACATATAATATAAGAATATAAATGATGTTTCTTAATGTGCTTAAATACCAATTGAGTTTTTATTGTGCTAAAAAAATAAAGTGATATACATATAAAGTTTAGTCATTGGGATCAAAATAATAAAATTTCTATTTAATTTTAACAAATAATGAAAATTCCAATTAATTTTTTTTTTCTCGATAAAGACATGTTGAAAATTGTTTAAATTTTATAGAAATCTATAATTTTAAAATTCCTTAGAAACAATGGATTCAACAATGATATATATATATATATATATATATATATATATACTAATTTTGTACAAAAAATTGAAACGAATTTGAAGGATGTTTCAAAAATATAAAATTCAAAAATATTTTCTATTGAAGACAATTTTTGTAAAAATAAATAAAAATAAAAACATGAAAGAAGGAAATACTAATTTTAAATTTAAATTGATGAAATATTAGTATATAGATAAAATAATCATTTAATCTAAGAAAAATGGCCTTCTAAAATATAACATTAAATTTGAAGATATTCTTTTGTATTAAATTTTTATTCTTCTATAGAATTTGTATAATAATAAAATTCTAAAAATCTAAAAATATTATAAAACATATTACAAATCATTAAACAAATGGATGTATATATGTAAGGTATTGCTATTGCTGCCACAATTTTTGCTACTACCACCTTAAATTTTATAAAAAATTTAGTCAAAATTTTATTTTTGATACTTCTATCACAAATATTTAATATCTATCTATCTATTTCATTTTTTTTTTTTTTTTTTTTTTTTTTTTTTTTATTAGAATCAAAAACTAAAAAAACATGTAAAGTAGGTGGAAGGTTGAATATGTTTTTTGATTATCTTTAAAAATATTGTAATGGAAAAACCATTTTTTATGTTAAAGCAAAAAAGAAAAATCTCAAAAAGATAATTTTATAATTCTTAATTTGAATGTTATAAAACCATTAGATATTAAACTTCAAGTATGAGAAGTTAAGATAAAATAAGTTTTTTGTAATTTTTTTTATTTATGTTTTTTTGAAAGAAAATATTAGTAGAACTATATGTACAAAATATAATCCTTTAGTTTTTTTTTTTAAAAAAAAAAAAAAAAAAAAAAACTGCATAAACAAAGAAACTACGAATCTTATTTATTTTTTTGAGTAAAATTAAATGGTTGATGCAAATCTCTTGCAAGTATTTATTGTACAGAGATTATAGATGTATTGTTTTTGTAATATATATATATATATATATACATATAGATAGATAGATAGATAGATAGATAGAGATGGAATGATTTAATTAATAATTGATCATGCTTTTATTCATAGAAATAGATATTTATATATAAAATAATTGTTTTTCTTATTTTTATCTCTATTTCAATTATGTATAAAATATATTTGTCAAAACAAATCGTTAAATATAATCTATAAAGTATATTTTTATTAGGAGTAATAATTAGAAACAAGCATTATAACTTTATGCAATGTAAAATTAGAATCCTTCACTCTTTACACTCGTTTGATTTTTTTGGAGCCCTGCAAGTTTCACTCTAAAAAAAATCGGCCCAAATCAAGGTCGTAGGTCAAATTACGAGAGCAACAACAGCAGCTGAAATTTCCATCCAGCTGAGTGATAGTCCGACGTTGCCGACGTTTGCAATTACTTGAGATACGGATACGTTTTAGATTGGAGCTAGTGCAGGTGTTCCGTATTCTGATCAGACGAGGCTTTGGTGATCATAATCTCAATGTAGTATGTTGAGAATTTAATTTTCGAGGAACCCAATTATCGTCGTTACGAAAACATGGAAATGGAATCGAAGCACGGAATGTGCAATTAAAGACACTATGTACAACTCTATGAAGACTGAACTGATTCAGTAACCTGAATCACTAAAAAGATTCGCGGAGGAACAAACTAGGCCGAAAGAAGCTAGGGAACTTCGTATTTTCAGACTCTGATACAGATTTCTTTGACGACACTAACTAGAACGATACCCCCATTCTACCCACAATTTAGGGTTGAAGGATTGGTGAGCTCCTCTCAATTCAGTCTTGTGCTAGATTTCTACCCATCAAGGGAGGTTGAAAGCTTGTCGCTTCAGCTGGAAAACTGTTACAGGGGAGTGACATTGACCCTAAGCTTCGCTAGAGCTGGTAGCTGAACTTAATTACTTTGATTGCCCGAGTTTCTCACGAACAAAATGTACAAAGGGGAGGTCAGTGACTTCAATACTTTACACCTAGTTTTAAGGACATAAGCTGAGGTTTTGGCTTACTCTCTGAAAGTACGCGCATCAGAAAATGGCTGATGCAACTAGATGGAACACGAGAACAACCCCCACCTCACTGAACTGGTGAAACTCTCATGCCGAATGGCACGAATTCGGTGAAGACTTAGTGCAGAATTGGAGGCAACTCCCGCGAATGGGCGACTATAACATGGGCGGTGCAGGCTGGTATCAGAGCGCCCACCAGCACCCCCTTCAACATGATGAAGAGCTGCGAAGAGAAAGGGGAGCATCACAAATATGTGCTTTGTTCGTGAACACCGCCACTGAAGAGAAAGATTGCCGTGCAGGTGTGCGTTGACGAGCTTCTTTCAGGGAAGGCGGAGCTAGAATTCTCTAGTTTTTCCGCGATGGAAAAGCATGTCTCGTCCCTGTTCGTTGGAGATGACCCCACTTCGTCACATTGCAAGAACTATACATCTCGGAATTTATAATTTGAGCTGGTGGAAAGATTTGACAGCGAGCAGGGTGCGAGCGGGTGGCGGTGCGAGCAATGGGGTGAGGGTCGCGGTGCGAGCAGAGTGGGGTTGGCAGCGAGGACTGAGGCAGAGAATTTTGCTGCGGCGCGCAGCAAAATTGAGGGGTATGGGTGCTATTATCTATATATTAAGGAGACAAGCAGTGGGTATCGATGGTTGCATGGATCGGACTTTGTTGTTATCAAAAAAGTTTACGTTCTCTGGAGTTCACATGACGTTTTACGATTGATCACAGGGGGTTCACAGAGATTTCAGGCCGTTTTTCAACGCAACGGCAGTAAGGGCATGCATCGAGAGATTTTGTGTATATTTACGTGGGTGGACTCTATTTTGGTCTTAGCGAGGGTGATGTTCTTGCGGTCTTTGCTCAGTCAGTGTTCTCTTCCGACCCATGTTGTTGCGGTAATTCATGAGGAATCGCAGTAACTAATGGCTTTGTAATAATTGCCTTCATATCTCTAGGTTGTGGATAGTGCAGAAGCGCAGTGTGAAGTGGGGTCATTTTCTTTGGATGGATGTGGAGGTGTGAATGTCTTTGCTCAATATCATATAAATATTTTGCTTGATATTCAAGAATGTGGATTTGAATGGCGTCTCAAGTCAATGCTAGACTGCACACATAGTAGGATCCTTGCAACACAACTGATTGACTACTTTCGCAAACCAACTGATTGAATACTCTTACCTATCTAAACAGAACTGGTCAATCCAGGAAAGCTTGGAAGAGACGATCCTGCAGATAATTGAGGCGATGGTGGGTATTTTAACCCCCCATTAGTACGCTATTTTCATCTATACTTACAACTATTCATATTGTTTCTCTTTTTT